GCTAATGGATGTTCGTGTGTGTGCGTGTTGAGGTGTGTGTGTGTCTATGCTGAGGTGTGTATGTATGTACATGCTAATGGATGTTCGTGTGTGTGTGTGTGTGTGTTTGTGTGCTGAGGTGTGTGTGTGTATGCTGTGTGTATGTATGTACATGCTAATGGATGTTCGTGTGTGTGCGCATTGAGGTGTGTGTGTGTGTGTATGTGTGTGTGTATGCTGAGGTGTGTGTGTGTGTTCATGCTGAGGTGTGTGTGTGCACGCTGAGGTGTGTGTGTGTATGTATATGTGTGTGTTCGTGTGTGTGTGTGTGTGTGTTTACACTGAGGTTTATGCATCCAGTCCAGCTATATGGTGGCCTCTGCTAGCTGAGAGCTAGGTGGGAGTGAGCCTCAGGAGAGGCTTAAGGAGGGGGGTGGGGAACATCAACGTTATAGATGGAGTCTGGATTGAAGGTAAGATTCGAGGTACGCACAAGGGTAGAATTTATTTCAATTGTGATGGAGGTGAGTACCAGGCACAGATCAGGAATGCAGCTGAGGGTGGTGCTCGGGTTGGGATTGGGGCTGGATGATGTCAAGCCAAGTTAGGGTGAAATCTGAATTAAGATCACCCTTAGGTTACGGGCTGGGATTGGGGTTAAATTAGAGAAGATGACATAGTAGTTAGTGATGGGAGTTCAAGTTAGGATTCAAGTTGAGGTGTGGGTTAGGGTTAGAATGGGACTGAAGTTGGGGCATGTGTTAGGGTTAGGTTTAGAATTGGGGTCGGGTTAGGATTGGCTTGCTGTGGGCATTGCAAGTGCTGTGGAGGCTAGTTTAGGATTAGGTTAGGGTTCCTTGGTAGGGTTGAGGTTGAGTTGAGTCTGCAGATGAAGTTGGAGGTACGATTGGGTTGGCTGTATGACGGGGTTTGGATCTGGGACTAAGTGTGGGGCTCGAGCTGGGTTGGGATCGGTTTCACACGAAGGGAGGGTCTGGGTGGGACCCCTGTGGGCGGAAGGAGCCCCGCCTCCGGCTGCCTTTCTCAGGCTTGCCCCTCTTACGGCATAGCAGTGTTGGCAGCACAGTCGGGGGCTTTGGTTCCTGAAGCCTCTTTCTCCCTGAACACCCTAGGCAGGGCTTACCCAGTGCAAGGAAGGCGTGAAGTGGGTGGGAGGTTGTGGGAGTGACATGGCTCCACACTGTGGGAAAGAGGAAATGGCTCCTGGACCTCAGCCCTTGAGCACTGCCCTGCCCAACCCTATCTCTGACGGCCACCCTGGGAAATGGAAACAGCTCCCTTTCCTTGTCCCCCCAGGTCTCCAGCCCAGCCTGGGCCCAGGTGTGAATTCAGGCCCCCTCCCTCCTGCTCTGCATTGAAGCTGCTGGGTACTGGATCTTGGGGTCCTCCCAGTATTTCAAGTTTCCTGGCCCCCAGGCCCACACGTGAGTCCTGAGGCATCGGTCCCCGGCATCCCCGCACCCTTCTTCTTTCTTTATGGGTAGCAGATGGTTCTGGGGTTGTTTGGGCTTCCCACATCCAAGGCCACCTCTTTTAGCCAACTCTCACTTCTCCATAGCCTTGCAGGCTACGCCATCCCTACTACCTGCCTCCCCACCTGAAAAGGCATCATGGCTGCCCAGAACCTTCAGAAGAAACCCTGGATCAGGACTCTGCTCACCCTTCAACCAGGACTCCCAGGAGGGGACCAGGAAGAAAGAGCCCAGACCTGGGGCGCGGTAGGTGAGAAAGCTCTGGCTTTGGAGCCAGGCAGCCCTGGCTTACAGTCTAGTCTGTCAGTGAAGTTAGCTGTGTGATCTCTCCCAGCCTCAGTTTCAGCATCTGAAAAATAGAGATGATAACAACTGCATGACGAACTTCAGATTATCTAGAAAATTATCCTTACTGATGCCCAGACCCAGCAAGCCTGGGTTATGACCTTCTCCACCTCCTCTGGGCTCCACCAGCCTCTTACACTCTCCCATTATAAAGCTTACCAGCTCTCTGTCTTGCCAGCTCTCCTGAGAGCTTCTGAAAGCAGAGCTGTGTCTTGCTCTGTCGGGGCCCCAGAACTCACACAAGGCCTCAGCCCTCAGGGGTGACATTTGAATAATAATCGTAACTTTAACAAGAGTGGTGAACATTTACCAAGCACTCGCTCTGAGCTAAGTACTTCACGGGTGTGGAAACCAGACCCAGCCCTACAGTCCAGCCACCTCTCACCCCACCCCCAGTAGCTGCTGAGGCCCCCATGCTGTTGGGCCACCCTCTGGTCTTTGTGGGGAGGCTATGCTGTGCTGTGTGGCCCAGAGATGGTTTAACTCTTTGGTTTGGGCAATCTTAGCCTGCTTCCAGCATGCATGTTCACGTTCAGTCCACTGCGGCCCGGTCCTCCCAGGCCTGGCTGTGCTTCCCTGCAGACCGGAAGTCTCAGCTGACGCCTGTAGGAAAGGCCTGGAGCCGACCCCAGGTAGGAATCTGGAGACTCTCATGCTGATCTGTGTGACCCTGAAAGAGGGTGTGGCCCATACTTCACAGCCTCCCCATCCTGCGTGTAAACACATCCTAGAAGCCGTAACAATCTCTGGTTCCTCTGAGAACCCAGAGCAGCCTGAGACAGACATCACAATGTGTGTGAGCCACCTAACAG